GCACTAATATATATATATATATATATATATTAACATAAAATTATATCATAATAATAATAATTATTATCTTTTTATATCAGTTTTAGTTTTCTTTTTATTTACAGTTATTTTAGTACTTATTTCTAAACTTATTTCAAATTTTTATTTACTTTGAGTTTTTCATGTAATATATGTATATTTCAATTGATTTCAGCTTTATTTCAATTACCAAAAATGTTTTAGTAGTTTTAGTTTAATGATAATAACACTTATTTGAGGTGCTTAGCATCAAACATTTTTAAAACCCATGCTGTATATAAATATACAAAAAATTGTGGCCCTATTTAACCCTACTCTGCAACTCAAGAAACACTGCACATCCTGTTTTCATACTGTGTTTTAGAGAAGGTATATTCAGTGTTTTGTCTATGTGTCGACAGAGAGTGTGGTCAGAGCGCTAATGACGTGGTGGACAGGTTTGCCCGTGAGGTTGTGTTGTCACTGCCGGCGAGCTCGTTGGTTCTGACTCGTGGTGATCTCCCAGGAAACACACTGCGCTACCTGCACTACTGCCAGGGTCTCCGGCCAGACCTCAGCCTTGTTGACCAGGAGGTCCGTAATCCAGCCTGACACATGTCTAATTTATTTCAGCCATAAACACGCTACTCTGTCACTGTTTCGAATGGCTTTTAAAAGCCGGCGTTTTGTGATGCAGATGATGACGTATAGCTGGTATGTGGCAAAACTCCAGAAGCATTTACCTGGAGTCACGTTTCCAGGGTGCTGGTGGGATCCAATCAACACCATGGAAAAGAAAACATTCAGCATTGAGCAGTTTCTCAAGCACAATATGCAGTAAGATACACACACACAGAGGTCTGTGTTCATATTCATATGCCCTCTTTATATATGCTACAAGTGACATTTAAATTATAATTTGTGCATATTTTTAATAGAACAATTTGCTGAATGCACTAGAGATAGATTGTCATCTGTTACCCCTTATACCACACTGCAAGAGCAAAGGAGATTAACCATCTATACTGCCTCCCTCCACCAGACGGCAGTATTTCCTTGGTAAAGCCCCCGGCCTCTGAGAGGTGGGCAATACGCACTTCAGTCATTTCCCTGGGAAGCAGAACAGAGAGAATAAGAAATAAATACTTGAGGAAAAAAAAATCAGCAACCTGATTGTTTTGTTAAGAGAGCCAGTTTCTATATCCCTGCCATGTGTATCCTGTGATTCAGGATCTATAATGGCTCTAACGTAACAGACAGGCTTAAAAGCTTTTACTCAGTTCTACTCTAAAATACTCTACTTTAAAGATTTTTTTTGCTTCTTGCTGGATTATGCAGAGAATGAAAGTATATAGCCTATATAGGCAGTGTCGGGGAAAGTTACTTTTAAAAGTAATGCATTACAATATTATGTTACTTAGTTACTTTTTATGGAAAGTAATGCGTTACGTTACTTTTGCTGTATATAGGTAATCATTTAATTTGGTTTCCATGGGGAGTTTTTTTAAAACATGTTGTTCAGTTACAAACAGAAGCAAAACTATCTATAGCAGCACTTTATAATAATGTTCATTTGTAACATTATAACATAACATTATTATAACACAATATATTATATTATTATATTATAACACAAGATTTATGTACCTTTTAATAATAAATATATAGGAATCTTAACTTAGTTTTCTATTTGAATGTAAAACATAATGAATGTTATTATGAAGATGTACACATTTGCTCTGGGTTTGTCTACAGCAGGCCAGTGTTTGCATGTATTGGCCTAACTGAGGGTGACCCCAGCTGGGAGAGGAGTTTCTCTCGTTGGCCCTGGGGCGTCTGTGAGCAGTTAGTACCTGTCAAAACCCCATTTGACCCTGAAAAATGGGCCCAAAAAACACTTGACCTTTACAACTGGAGCCAGCCACATGACAGGTAGCACGATTACTTGTGTTTGTGGTTTACTTAGGAAGTGACATATTGCCTGAATACTTTTTGGTAATATGTGGAATTTAATGTTTCAAGCTGAAATGAACATTAGGCTAACAGATTTGTTATTTTCATACAAATTATGATTAGAGGGCCAAAGTATTGATAAATAAAGACTTGTTTCTTGCACAATACTGTTATGACCTTAAAACACTTTTACAACAGTGCATGATTTGTAAACAAATACATTTTGATGTTTGCATCACATAACCAGCTCCATATGTATAGCATTTCTGATGCAGTAAACTTGCTTGATAGCTCACCTGGTGTAGCATTGCTCTGAATCACGATTCACGACACTCCACAAAAGAGCACTAGATAGGGTTTAGTGCAGGGGGTAAATTTTTGAAGCTTCATAAGCACCACTGACTGGACGTTTAGTTTCTGTGAAAATCGAACACGCTATTTTGCACCAGTCACTGGACATTTTACTTTGAAAGTGCAGTGAAACATGCCTCAAGCAGCGCAGTATCATTTTGCAAACATGCACCCACAGGCATGTTTTTTTCATGACACTAGGCAGTTTAATAAACCCACATGACATGGAGAAAAAAATTATATCGCTTATAGCACCCCTTGTGGACGTGTCACTTAAAAGTGCAGCACAATGTACCTGGATCAGTGTATTCCAGGTTTTGTAGATATCTAAGCAATGAACATTTTCATGGTACTGTGATATATACCATGGTGCTAATTGAACAAATCTTGTATAATTTTATCTGCTGTATTTTTGTGTTCATTTGGTTTTATTTTGTGTTTGTATTATTCCAACTTATTGCCATGAAGATAACCTTAGATGCTGACATGGCAATAAAAATAAATAACTACTAGTATACCATGGTGCTAAATGATTACTATATTCATTTACTACAGCATTCACATGAGGTTCCATGGATCTCAAAGAATTTCATGGTACTTTCCATGGTACCTGTCTGAAATCCTTGGTATTACCACGTTGCCATGTCCAAAAAAAAAAAAAAAACCTGTGTAATTCTATGGTGTTTTTAAGTGCTTATGTTAGTAAAAATGTTATGTTATTGAAGAAAGAATAAAATTGTGATTAAGCTGTCATTAAAGATTGCAATCAAAGATGTTTAGGATCCTACAAATGCAAAATGTTCAGTTAAACATATTTTGTCTGTCTAACTGGCAAGTTTGGCTCAGCTATGCTTAGATTTTGTGAAAAAGGATATGAAATTGATCAGAAACACTTTGAATCAGTTTTTCTCAACTCCAATGTCGAGTCAAGTCACACTTTATACAATACAGATTGTGCCAAAGCAGCTTTACAGTGTTAAACAGAAAATTGTTTTTCAATAATGCAAACAAAATTCAATTCTCTAAAAGAGGACAATGGTAAACAGTCAATTTTCCAGTTAAAGTCAGTTCATCATTGATTCAGTGACGTCAACTTCCAGCTCTGTTCAGTTCTCTTCCAGTAGTGTCTATGTAATCAAGTCGACAATATTGCCAAGTCCCCAACCAAAAGGTGTCAGTGGCAAGGAACTCAGACTCCATCGGTCTGCCAAATTAAATAAACGTATATGTAAATAAATGTTTGAGATGATACTAGTTAATGTACCTTTAGGTTCATCACTGGTCTGAGCATCCTTACCAGGTGCACTCCAGCACCATTTTACACCTCGTGCAACCCATTGAAGTGTTTTGGTCTTTGCTGATATTAAAGTGCACTTAAACACTGCTCTGACTTCATGCTGTGCAGACAGCCTCCCTTTCCATCTTCAAAGTCGTTATTAGTCCGCTGACCCCACCCTAATGACTTTCTAAACTGCGGCGTGTCAATATCTGTGTATAAAGTGAAATTAGTTCTAGTCTCCAGCACTGAGGCTCTCTGCAGCCGGCTGGTATTCAGCAAGTTAATCGGGGTTGAATGGTGTGACATTACTCTCCTCTCACCCACTACAAGCGTGTCCATCCCTGCCTGCCAGCCAAATATTAGCGGGGAAGTCACATGCTAAAATATTCCTTTGAAGGAGAGGCCGCACGTTTATGAGCGATGTAGTGGAAAGGAAGAAATGCAGAAATATATGGGTCGTTCACCACAGAGAGAGCTTCCAAAGACAGGCGAGGTTGAAGATCAGCTGTTGTATGGTTTGAAGATATGCAGAATACGATTCGCTGGATTACTGGCTGGTTTTAAACTTGTATTTCAAGTCCGTACTCAACAAGACTGCTTTGATGCCATCTGAATGTACATAAAAAAAATAATGTTTTTTTCTTTGCATATCATCAACTTGGTTATTTTTTGAAAGTACACACTTATGAAAGTAAGATTAGCTACTCACAGCTAATTAAATGACATTATAACGTTTGTTTATTCCACCCTGGCTCCTGGGAGAGAGTTGCCAATGAGGAGATGTGGCAGGCCAGGTAATACACGGGTTACGGATCTCATCACTGTATCTACGCCAAACCTCAGTATATAGCGACAAAGGTATACTTGGGTGCTTTTATTCCATCACTTTTTAGGATGAAGACAGCTTTTTTCCTGTTTGACCTGGCTGAGAACATGGAGAAGGAACAGCAGGCCCGTCTCAATGAACTTTCTTACAATGTGAGTAGGAAATGACATCATATATTAGCCTTTTTTGGAATGACTGTGCTTGCAATGCAGCTTCCAATAAATATTTTTATTGTGTTCTACTTCATATGATTCAGTGACTCTCTCAAGATGTACCTATTTCATTGCTGGATGAATCAGTGTTTTTAAATGAATCTCTTGAATGAATGATTCAAAGACAAATACATTTACTTTATTATTAACGGGTCTTTTTTGTAATTAACTGTTTAAACATACTCTTTGTTTAGATACTGTAAGCCCAGTCTTAATTGTGGCATTTTATTTAAGAAATTTCAGTTTGAAAATCTAAAATATCTTATTGGCATACTATTACAGAATGTTCGCTTTCGACAGTAATTTGCATGGTGAATTTTTTCATGTTTTTAACAACAAAAAAACAAGATGCACAGTGAGCATCATGAAAGCGGCAAAGCGGCTCTAATGCAACATTATACACACAATCAAAGCCTAAAATCAAAGCTTACCTAAAACCTTTAACACTTTCTTTTGCTACCTTGCAAGCTCTGCTGTTTCCTTAAGGAAATGCAAATCTAGTTTGTCAGCATTGATGTGTCGTGAAATTATTTGTAGACTGAATACAGTTCCTTAAAACATCACAGCTGATGTCTTCTATCATTTATGTTGTGTTTTAAAAACCATTTATAAACCTGTTTTAAAAAGTCTCTTTTAAAAGTTATTAATATTGTCTATTATACAAATAGTTAAAGCTATGTGGTCCTTTTTTTATTGACAGCTGTATTGTCAAATAGTGGATACCCAGGTAGACTACCCAGCAAACTGGGATAAGAACCTGGCTCTTGCCGCAGAATGTCTGCTGCGATCAGGGGCAGAGGTCATGGTCTAGATTCCCTCCTGAGTCGCAGCATCCGCCACTTCAGCCACTACCTTCAGAGAGAACCCACCGATCCCCAGAGCAAAGCCATCCGCTCCATCATCACACATCTCAAGAAAGAGCGCGAGAAACTCAGAGACAGACAGAAGGCTTGAGACAGGAAGTGACATAAGTTGTCTGAAACAACACAGAGAGCCTGCAAAACACTGAAATCACCTACGACACTACATAGGTGCAGATAGCACAATAAGGTAAGAGGGAGGGTCGTAAATATGAAGAAAGCTGTAAAGACGAAATTTAAAGACAGTGCAGGTATGACTGAAGACTAACTGATGTTTAATGTGTATTTTACCAACACTCAGATTCATCTCAAAGTAAATTGAACTCAAAATGCTAAAATGGACCAATCTGTCACAACATGAGTTTTATACAGAGATCTTTTATATTGTAGGATATGAGCTACTGATCCATAACCACATCATTGTAACATCAGAGTAAACTGTTCATTTAGTTGACAGACATTATTTCATTAACAAGATGATATAGTGGTCGGTTATAAAAATCAGGGATTCATTTATATTTCCTCAACATGCTAATCTCAAACATCTACGACTCCAAGATTCAAGAGAATTTCCACAGTGAAGGTAAAGGGACACAATTTTCTGAACTCTAATAGAATTTGTTGTATTTGTGTAGGTTTCTTTTGTAATAAAATTTTCACACTTTGTGAATGTTAATGTGCATTGAGTTGATGATCAAAGGTGTCCTTAACCACTCATTCCGCCTCTCCCCATCTCTCTTTTTTGAATAATTATCATTTGCCCCCCGCTGTCATGCATCTCTCTCTCTCACTTTAGGATCACGAAGGTCTCAGATTGAGATTGAGGGGGGTGGGGGGTAAATTTGGGCACAACCATGAGAGATTAAGAATGACCCATTAATCTGGGACAGATTTGAAAATACTGCATCCTTTTCCCTGTCTCTTTTTTCTGCTTTGTCTATCTCTCAAAACAGCTTTGAGTCTTCAACAGAAGAGACGTTACCCCTATAGGGAGCCCGCCAACTATTGTTTGATTTTAAAATGATATATTCTGATAGAAATTTTGTTAATATAAACAATTTTGTGTTTTGTGGTCACTGGATGATCAATGTAAAATGTGGGTCCTAAGAGCAGCGAAAATCAGCTGGTTGAAGAATGGTTTCATCCTGAGTTCAGGATGTCAGCTACACCTTATCACAACATATAACGTCTCCCCTTCTCATGTACATTCATCTCTTCTTCCACTGAGCTGCTTTCTCTCCGTCCCTCCCTGTCCCTGTTTTTGCCTCTCTCTCATCTGAGGGATTGTGTGAACCCATGGAATCGCCATGACCGTGGATGCAGGCAGGGAGCCACAGCAACACTGGAATGTGGGGTGCCTGAACAGATAAGAGCTGAGAAACCCAGCCAGGCAGAGGGAGCAAAGACAAGCAAGCGAGACGTAATAAGTACATAGGATGGTGTATATGGCACGATAGGACAGAGTTAGACAGGAAGTGCTAGAAAGAGGCGAATGGACACTGACAAGACAGAAATTAAATCGCAGCACAGGGACTTTGAGACAAAAGAGGGAAGGTAAGAGAGAGGCCCATGAATGGTAATCCTTGAGAAAGAGCCAAAGAGAGCAGTGCAGTTGCACACACACATTCATAACATGGGAAGCCAGCCTTATTCCTCTTTGCATTTCATTTACATCCCTGGCTGTATCGACCAATCGGATTGGGAGCAAAGCCCGAGGCTTAGGAGGGGAATAAAAAGATGAAAATGCCTTCGCTGCTCTCATCCCTCTCTGATAATACCCCCTGTTTCTCCTTTCTCCTCTGCACACCGGAGAGAAGTAGATACTGTCCGAAATGCCATAGCAGAAGCGACACCTCCGCTCCCTGTGCTTTGCCGATAGACCTCGCCAGCGGCAGGCCTAAAAAGGGGGCTTTAGCTGCTGGGCCAATCTCCTCTACTTCCTCCTGCTGAGGGAGTGGAGGACCACGGAGGAGGGTGGAAGGGATGGAGACACAATATGTGAAATTGGCTATAATGTGCGTGCCACATTACAGACTGGAGAAAATGAAACTTGTCCAGTGTGGAAGATCACTCTGTGTTTAGACAGAAGAGCATGCTTTTCTGAGACTGTCTAAAACCGAAGTCAGCTGCCTTGCTGCTCAATAAGTCAGTGACTTAACAGACACCTTATTTGTATAAAGTTATGAGGAGTATTAGGCCTGTTTGCTCCTGGAGGGCCACCTTCCTGCAGGGTTTAGCTCAAACGTGCTCTAACATACCTGCTGGAATTTTCTGAATACCATTAACACCTTAAAAATACCTTAACTGGCTAGTTTAGATGTGTTTGATTAGGGTTGGAGGAAGTGGCCCTTCTGGAGCAGGATGGGGCATCCCTGTCCTAAGGTAACTCACAAAAGGTCTTAGAAACAGTACTGAAACTATTTGTGTCAGAAGAAAACCACTGTTAGAAATCCAGCCTGGCCCTCATCTTCTCCATGTGACCCTTCAGTTTTTGATCCACAAACAAGCCCTTAGAACTGCCAAGACATGTCATCTGCCGCACCATCTCACCGTCATCCCTCCTCCTAAAGTCTGCCTTCTCCATGTCTTCATCCCTCATCCCTCTCTTTAATAAACCTCTGAACAATGGAAGGAGAAATGAGAGGGATTAGGCAGAGGCAGGGATTGTCTCCATTTCTCTGGATTGATTCTTGAACCTTTGTTTAATCCCTGGCCCTGGACCCACATAGCTGTGATTGACTGCCTCAGGTGGGTTGTTGGAAGCTGGTTGAGGAGTGAAGAGATGAAAACTCTGGCTGCTGTACTGGGGGTGACACTGAGCGGCTCATGTCTGTGGTGGTCCTAGTGTCTTTGGGAAGCCCTGATAAGAATGAGGCCATGGAGCTATTGAGGGAATAGATGGATGGATTCCACTGGCTGGAGTGCTTCTAGACAGAAGGTTGGATCCTTTTGATGATTTAAAGGGTTAGTTCACCCAAAAATGAAAATTAGCCCATATTTTACTCCCCATTAAGGCATCCTAGGTGTATATGACTTTCTTAATTCAGGCGAATCTAATCGGAGTTATATTAAAAATTGTCCTTGCTCTTCCAAGCTTTATAATGGCATGGATGGGTGTTTTTGTTCAACAGTCCAAAAGTAGTGAAATAAAGTGCATCCATCCATATTAAAACGTGCCTCACACGGCTCCAGGGGGTGAATAAAGGCGTCCTGTAGCGAATCAATGTGTTTTTGTAAAAAAAAAAAATCTGTATTTAAAACGATGTAAACAGTTTAGTGTAGCTTCCGCTAACTGTCCGCACTGTGTGCGCATTCTCGAGAGACTGTCTTTTTGGCAGATGCCGCCGGACATAGGCATAGCGCATGCGTGTGTGTCTCGCGAAAACCAACATTTGTTTACAGGACATGTTTTCTTTACAAATCCTCATTTTGTACTTCTAATTCGTGACTGGCATTTTGTTTTGTTTTCTCTCCGTCGTGCTTCCGCGTTCGTCACTAATCACTGGTGCATGTGCTATGCCTACGTCCTACATCATCCGCCGGAACGGCTTCCGCATACGAGAGTTAGCAGAAGTGAAAGAAAGGTGTTTATAACGTTTTAAATATGGATATTTTTCTTACAAAAACACATAAATTTGCTGTTCGTGGCCCCCGGAGCCGTGTGAGGCACGTTTTAATATGGATGGATTCGCTTTGTTTGACTACTTTTGAACTTTTGAAAAAAACACCCACCCATGCCATTATAAAGATTGGAAGAGCAAGGACATTTTTTTTATATAACTCCCATTGGATTCCTCTGAAAGAAGAAAGTCATATACACCTAGGATGCCTTGAGAGTGAGTAAGACATGGACTAATTTTCATATTTGGGTGAATTGACCCTTTAAATGTAGGTTATGTGTGTGAGTGTGATTGAATGTTTGAGGCCACCTGAACAATTAATCCAATTCTGAACATGTAGAGTTTGATCACTTCAATTCAACCAATTTAACTCCCAAAAGACCCCTGAATTTTCATTAAATCTGTATAGTGTATGGAGATCCAAACCAAGGTGTCTTGTGTTGACTCATTCATCAATTTTGATACTTTGTCTCTCCACCACTAGTTGCTCTCACCAGCACTGAAGGTTTAGAGAAGGCCCATAACTTAAGTTTACAGGTCCTAGGACAATAATTGTATACTAAAGGTCGGCCCTTCTCCCTGTTGCCCAAAGAATAGACCAGAGTTTTTAAACACCTGTGGGCTCGTTTATAAAACATGCATACACACAGATTTGCCTGGAAGCTTCTAGTAAGCCTGAATACCTTGATTAGCTGGTTCAAGTGTGTGTAAGTGGGGCAGGAGGTAAACTCTGCAGGACAGTGGTCCTCCAGGAACAGGTTTGGACACCCCTCTTTTATAATATAATCCTGAAGACCTTGATCAGGTGTGTTTGATTAGGGTTGGAGTTAAAGTCTGCAGGACAGTGACTCTCAAAGGAGTAGGGTTGAACATAGAGGACCTTCTTTGGACCTCCTAGTAACAAGACTAGATCTGCCAAAACATGGCTACCATGGACATCTTGAGATTGATGTACTGCATACATGCGTAGAACTGTTTAGGAACTTGTATTTTGGAACTTATATCACTCCCAAATACTGTTGAAGTACTGCCTATATGTAACATCTGTCTACACTCAATCATTTGTTCAACTGAGCAACAGACCTCACTGTGATAAGACCATTGTGATCCTTTTGGAATATCAAAAGAGACTAAAGACACTATGACCAACAGCCGTTTCATAAAAGATCCTTTAGCTTTGCAGCTTACCAACATAGAATAGCCTCATTTTCTGATACTTGTGTAGATCTATTTAAATAATGGTGAGGTAAACTCACAAATTAAACACCTTTATGAATGCCCACAGGCTCTGAAAAAGGACGTCTCATTGTACAGAAGAAACCCTCAGAAAGGGTAAGATGATATCTTACCTTTCATGTGATTAGTTGCTCCAAGTGAGTGGATGTGTGTTTGTGTATGTGCCCAGAGCAGTGTTTCCAATTAAACTGACCTGTCTTCCTTCTCCCTCCGGTTCTAATTTTGTGCCACATTAAAGGAGTGTGACGCCATTGAGGACACAGAGCCACATTTTCATCATTTGCTGCCTCAATGTGCTTGCATCCCCTTGCATCTGTGGCTGTGAATGCATGCCTGGGGAAGAGGCACAGCCACCATCCACTGAGAGAGAGAAACAATATTCACATGTAGCTGCAATATCAAGTATGTTTTCTTTAATTTACTGGTATATAATGCATTTAAATTGTTTCTATTTATAAGTCATGTAGTAGCACCTTTCTAGCTCTTACCAAATTATTAGATCTTGAAGGGTTAGTTCACCCAAAATTCCCAGAAGAGCAACACGACAACATATTCAAAGAGAACCTATGGATTTGGTGTTTCCTTACTTCTAATAACAGTACAAAGGAGCACTATAAGTCTCAAGCCATATGATAACTTTTCGTGAAGAACAGATTGCAATTTCTGTGAATAACAAGTGGCAGTTTGAATACACGGAAGTGCGAGTGACATTTGAAAATAACAGTGGAGTTGGAAAATGACCAGTTTCAGAAGAATTTTAATTTTTTGGGTGAATTATTCCTATAGCCTCTCAGAATATCAAATCGTGTTTGGATCCAAACAGCATGTTTTTAATAAAATACCAGCTTGTTCATTACAGCCTCGTTGATGGTCAATCAATGGATTAACTTAGAAGGTTACTGCATACTGTAGTTTCATTGGTTTACAATTCATATTGCAACAAACATTTAATCAGG